AGATAGATAGATAGATAGATAGATAGATAGATAGATAGATAGATAGATAGATAGATAGATAGATAGATAGATAGATAGATAGATAGTGGTAACAGCATTATTTATTTAGATTTGTGTAAGTCTAACCTCAAATAGCATAAATCACAGCATCTGTTAGGCAGTGTCACAGCACCACCCAGTGTACTCACACAGGTAGGACTACAAACTGACTGGGTTGGAAAGGTTTAATTTTCCAGACAGCTCCTTGTACCTTATACTTGACTGATTTAACTCTTTTAATCTGTCATCGTCTTATTTTGAAAACATGTTTTCTGATGGTTCTCTTAGTTTGATCATTTCGTATATGTATATGTAGTGGTGTTTTTCCTTCTCTGCCTACTGGGAAGCAGTTTGTGTTCCATTTGGTGGTATGAAAAGTGATTTACGATAAATATTGATTGATATTTATCCAGGGTCACCACTTTTTAAATATGAACAATCTTTATTTCTACCAACTCAGTAGTTAAATGGTAGATAATCATCAAAAGATTTTGTCCCTTTTTCCAAAGGAAATGACTTTCTGTCTTGAGACCTCATTTCCGGTCCACACTCATGCATTTCAGTGATGTACTTGTGCATTGACCTGAAATATATTTATCAAATGAATATGATACCTCAGGCAAGAGTTGTAGAGTTTTCCTTTAACAATTGACGGCAAAGCCTCAATAATTGGTACTAAATGGGAGGATCAGGAATGCATGTGCCTCTAGTCAACTACAGGTATGGCTCTTTTATGCACTGCTCAAACACATGCACATATTGATCAATGTCCATAAAAGGAAAACATGCAAATATTAGCCAAAAATATTGCCAGGCTATATAACGGTTCTATCTATAGTATATATATGAATCTGAAGCTGCAGCTTTTATTTTTGCAAGTAACATAGAGAGACAGCATAATAATTTGAGAGTTATCTAGAATGAATGAGTTATACAGCTAAGGACGGTCAACTCCCCCTCCACAAATTTCCAGTTTATAGTTCATCGTATATAAAGGTACTGCTACAATTTATTTTCTGTGGGTTAAAAAATTATATGATGTACAACCTTTTTCTACAGTAAATGTTAGTTGAGGTGGAAACCCAGAGCAGTTAATTATTGCCCTTGAAAAGGATCCTGGAGGTATTACCTTCATCAAGTTTATCATTTATAATAAAGTCGGATTATCTGTACCATGTGAATGAGGAAGGCAGTGTGAAAATCATAGTTCAGATAATGTGGTGCCCCCAATAATTATACATCATGCCTTTTAACATCAAGATCTAATCCCACTAAAAAATCACATTTTAGTGGGATTAGATCTTGATGTTAAAAGGCAGTCATCACACTGACCATGTTTTGGAGATATAATCGATCTCCTCCCTTTTGATCAAATAAATGCATTTGTGTATGCTGTTATGAAAGGAACCCATTCAGACTGGTTCAGGTATAATATGTAATAGGTCAGTGTTGAATTTAATTTTTAGAAATTAGTATAAAAAAGAAAACAGGTGAGTATTCAATTTTTGTTTTTAAAATACAATAATTAAAATACAAAGTGTTTCTTTTGTTCTATGTCAAAAAGGATGGACAACACTTTGAAAATAATTTTATTTAGATCAGAAAACAAAAATAACTTTTTAAACAGAAACAGGAAAATGACAGAATTATTCATTTTTGTGATTTATTTAATAATTTGAGGGTAAAGCATAATTAAAAGGAAAATTAAAGAAGGTTGCCAAAAACTGTGGGGATATTATAGTAAATGAAGATGTCTCAAAAGAATACAAAGGCAGGTTGGAGGAATTAGAAGAAATATTTGGAAGAAGCAGAATATTGAAAAAGGCAATAACTGGATTATGACTGGGGCAAACAGGAATATATTCAACATTACATAGAATAGTAGAATGGGAAAGCTGGAAATAGGAAGATGTGAACTCTGAGGGAGAAGTGAAAAATACAGAATGCATGTATACACACAGACAGGGACGTGCACAGATAGACACTAGGTGGTGCTAGAGTACCTTACCCGTTTTCCTCCTGTCAAAAAAGTCCCCCTCCCCATCTTTTTTTTAAGTGTTTGGCCAAAAATACCATTTATGAATTTAAAAGCGTATCAAACCCAGAGTCCAGTTTTATAATATTTGACTCATGTATTTTTTTTATGACAACTATATTACACATTTCAACAAACATAAGGCCAAACACAAGGCCAGATGGTCAAAATATGTAAAAAATAACTTTAAAAAAGATCTATGTAGTTATAGTGTGGCTTGTAGATGAGGTTGCATTTTCAATTTCTCTGTTTATTGCCAGACATTTTGGACTGCAAAAAAAGTGACTTGAAAATATGTAAAATTTTCTGAAAATAACTGTTTTCCCCCCCTAATCTGAAGAGGGAAATTAGATTATCTGTCAGTGGAATGAGAGTCTTTAACCTTAAATTAAGAGTATTACATGATATATTCTTGAAATAAGTTAATAGAGCTGTTGTTTTTTTCAAATTTTAAATGTAAATCTTAGTTTATCTGCAAATGTTCATATATACCCGCTCAAATAAAGAGAAAATAAACTTAAACATAATCTGGAATCCTGAGCTTCGCTTTAGACTTCTCCATTTCCACGTACCTTGGAAAACTGCCTGACAAACTTTGAGCAAGTGACACATATTTATGGAAGATATTTATGACTACAAGCAATAAGGCAGTTACCACCAAGGCCACCCACCCTGAAGCTCTTAGATAAATAAATAAAATTGATCCAGGGGAAGGAGACATCATATTACTAGATCTCAAGAAGAAGAAAGACTGTTGAAGAAATGGGATCACCACACACTAAAGACTAATTATAGCAGCTACATGTAAACTAGAAACCGTGTTATACAGTGTAATGTGCTCTCGCCATTAATTGTGTTCTTTTTTCACATAAATGAAAAATAAACAAATTTTAATTCAATAAAATCTAGTCTTATGTTTTTCAGATTTGTTTATATATCAGTGGGTTTGAGATTGTTCTTCATTAAATTGATGCCATTGCGGCATTGCTACCAATGGACTGCGAAAGGATGTTAAACATCCATGTATAAGGTGCCCTTTTTCCAACCAGAGCACCTACCCCGAAAAATGTCTGTGCACACCACTGCATACAGAACAAAATTAAGAA